AAGTCCCTGTTCATCCATTCTCTTTTTATTTAAAAGTTCCTTATTATAAATAGAAACAACACCCATCCAGCAAAAGACTCATGATGATCCTACATTCAGGAACATCTCTGGAGCAAAATGCATATGTAGCAGATAATCTAAACACACCGAAAGCTGTGTCTTGTGCTGATTCTGGCACACAAGGAGAACAAAAGGGAGAACTCCAGGTGTGGCTGATTGAACTTGGACTTTCTTCTCCTGGTTTGGCACATCCTTAGACAGACAAAATATACTTTGCCTCACTTATATATGTGAGATGTTGATTGGTTTTAACTGCAATTTATAGTATATAACACAGAGAAGAAGAGAGAATATTTCTTTAGAAATAATATAAGCAGAATTAACAAATGGAAGAAAGAAATAGCTGACCTATATTTCAGGGACTGGAACATGTCTGTAATGCAGATGAAAAACCCATTCCAGCTCCCCTATAAATTGTACACCATCCAAATCTATTTGTCATGAAACAGTTACCTGCTCATAGCTGAAAAAGTGCTTTGATATATTTTTTATGAATCTAGCTTCTCCAGTGCTAAGATAACTGATGGCAACACAACCTTGCATTAATTATTGTATTTTTGTGTCCAGATGATGTTCTATAAAAAGGGAAATCTGAAGAAAGACGATGTATTTATTTTACAAAAAAGTGCCATATAACAAAAGGCTTCAGAAAGATTTTTTTTTCTTTTTTTCTCGCATAATACTACAAAGGACAACCAAACAATTAAGAAGAAAAAGTTTTAAAAGTGCCTTTTGGAAAAAAAAAAAACATTTTTTCTTTGTTTAAATGAGATATTCAGTAAAGGAGGAAAGAATTAACAATAAAAAATAAGAGATGCCATTCAGAAAACAATTTGTTGGTGTTTTTTGGTGGGGTTTCTTATTTGGGTTTTTTTTATGGGGCTTTTTTTGGATTTTTTTTTTTTTTTTTTTCCACTGTGGAAAAGAGTAAATGGTCAGTAATAATTCAAGCCAAGTAGTTTAATATTTTAAGCTGAAATTTTTATCTATTTTCATTTTTATTGTGAATATAGAAAATAAAATTGTTAAAGAAGCCCATATTATTTTTGGAAAAATAAAGATAATAATTCTCTTTAAAAATTAAGTTTTAATAAATGTATTAACTATCCAGTTCACATATTCATTAACTACACAGATTGTAAGGATGTAGGAGTTTTTATTTAATTTTTCTCTTTGATAGCTACAAAATGCTCATTCTTGCAGTCTGTGTTTGAATCATGGTTATATCTCACAGCAATATCAATAAACTCCATTCAATTTTTTTCTTATAATACCCCATCTTTCTGCTGCATTTTATCTAAACCAAAAGTTGGGACCTTAAAGTTAGCCTCACAAAAAAAAGACTAATACTGAACTTAATATAAGAAATACAGTTATTGTCCAATGTCTGATTATTATTCTGATCTCTTTTTTGTACCTTATCTTAATATTTTACTCAAATGGTAGCTGGAGTTTGTCCTTTTAATAAATATCAGTCCTTAGAGCTGTAGGATGTAAAATCCAGAGACATGTGGCTTAGCAGTTCCCAATTAACTCCCAATTAAAGGGGGCATTATATTAGTATTATAAATTAATTAAGTGAAAGAAAATTTAATGTACTCAAACATTGTAAATAGTGTAAGTACACCACACAGTATTTTAATAACATGAATGATCTTTAGAGAGAGGAGATTAGACTAAGTTTGCTAGTGCTCCTGATGAAGACTTTCTTGCTTTGTTTTATATACACACTGATGTTATTTCTGTGAAACATCTTCATGTCTGTCCACATGAACACAGCATGTCCCCTCAGATCTCAGGGTTACTGTTTCCTTAATGTGGCCATAAAGTGTTCAGTGCTGCCTGTACTAAAAAGACTAGCCACATAGTAGTCCCTTTCGAAATCATTTAGGAAACATACAAAGACTCCAGGTTTTCTGCTTACCATTATGGTTACTGGTGAAACAAAAATATGTTAACTGGGTCCAACCTAAATACATAACCAACTCTTGATCTCTAGGACATTGTTTCTTTCCCTCTTAATGCATGTGCCAAATAGTATTTACTGAGTAATATAAAGATGTTTATCTATGCAATCCCTTACAGCTTTATTTCCATTACTTATTGAGATGAAATCCCAGTTTAAAGGTATTAATTATAGATCAGCACTAAATAGTGCAGCTCTTCCACTCTTAGCTTGTCTTCTTGGTCCATATGAAATGAGGTGGAAAACATGGTTTTCAGTTTATGCATCTTCCTTCTACCTCCCACAATGGGAAAATTCATTGTCCTACTAGCCCAGGATATGTTATGTGCTATGATCTGATCTCTGGTATGAATGAGGGTGTCGGCTCCAGACAGCAATTCCCTTGGCAAGTGTTAGCTTCAGGGCTTCCTCTTTGATGAGTGATGTAAGAAAAGCAGGTGTTAAATCTTACATCTATTTTCCATTCAAATACAGGTTGAGAACACCCCAGCTTATCACACCCCAATTGAGGATATTTTTAATATTTTCTAAATTATCTGCACTATCCTACTTTTTGCACATAGACAAAGAGAGAATACTACAAAGGAAAGTCATACCTCCTTCCTGTTTCATCTTGACATTTGTTAGGGCAAAGGCAAATCCTACAAGTAAAAAGCATCTTCCAAATGCAACTGCCTAGAAAACCATTCAGATTCATGTGTTTGTTCAGTGCTCAACAGAATATGTTTCACTACCAGCAACAGAAGACATTAGTGTATATTAAGAAAGAAAATGGGACAGTGATTCTGGCACATCTTTGTGAAGTATTTTAAGGTCAATAGTTTGAGAAAACAAAATCAATGAAAATAACACAATGGGTATGTAGGTTCAGTGTTATCTTTGTAAAGTAGGAGGTTTATAAATTTAACACCACTCCAGCTTTTAACAGTTTAAACTTTACAGATTACAGTGGCATGATATTGGGTACAACTGGAGATAGCTTAGTAGGGTATTAGACATAGATATCTTATATTTACTTACTGAAAGCTATGACTTATATTCAGAAGCCAACGGGTCTTTTAGTTATAACTAACTCTGAACCTTAATTCATTTCCTTACCAAATAAGACAGGATTTATCTACATTCAAGCTTCATTTTTATGCAAGTTAAGTGTGCAAATGTCTCTTTGCATTAACTGCTTTAAAGCTACTGCATTAAAACTCACATTGGTCTAAGTGAAAACGCCATATTGACTTTAGAGTACCCAGCTATGGAGCCAAAAGTGCAAACTAAATTTATGCAAGTCATATGTTAATTATGTAAACACGAATGTAATGCAAATAGAGACGTACCTGTATAGAAATAGATTAGTAACACTTTATAATATTAATAGAATTCATATGAAAGAAATACGGTACTTGATTTTGCATATTTTCATATTTTGTTTGTTCATTTTTAGTTAAGAAAAATGATAAAACATATAAAGAAAAAATTCTACTGCACATATCATTGTCATACATTACTTAAACTCTGAGTAACCTAATTCACTCAATATGGTCCCTTTTTGGCACACAACTTCTTATTCAGCAATCCCTAGAAAGAGATCTACCATCTGAAACATGTTGGTTGGAGTGCTCTGGCTTTCACAGCAAAACAATGTATCATACAATTAATTAAGCCTCTGGGTCATCCTAATATCAATCGGATTAGGTATTTATTTAAAGCAAGGCATATGCCTAAGTAATTTGCTGAACTGGGGCCTAAAAGGAGTAGGAGAGTTATGGCAATTACTGTATGTGATTATGTCATTACAGATAACTTGCCACTGCCTGCACAGGAGCAAGATGAGTTAAGGCCATTCAGAATCCTCCATATCCAAAAGCTTTAGTTTTTGCTTTGTAGGTAGAAAGCAGGTTTCCATATGCTTTTATAAACTGTCATATATGCAGGATACATAACAGAGTGCAGATCAGAACGTTCTGAGAATTCCAGATACCTGCAATACAATCCCATACTATAAACCCAATATTATCTCAATTGAAAGCCTAATCCTGGGGGTCTCTGGCAGCCAGTGCCTGCAGGATGGAGTCTTTGGACAGAGCCAGCCACATGCTTGTGAATGTTACTGACACTTCTCAGATACATTAAATGCACATGTCTTGTCTTCATGCCTCAATGTACAGACAAAGCACAGTGTCAGTCACCAAAACCACTCAGACTTCTATGCATTATTGTCTAATTAAATAACACGGATAATTTCCAAGACTATTTCAAGTATAAACATGGCCTGGTATCTAAACTCTATCTAGTTTTAAGTAGAAAGTGAAAATATTGAGAGGGGAATTAAATTGAAATCTGAGGAAAACAATTTATTAAAATAGTAGTTCACCTTTTTTGTTTTCCTCCTTTCAAAATTTTGTTGACAAAATCATAAGCTAAGGGAACAAATGGCCCATCAGGCACAGTTTTTTCCTTCTCCACCCCCATCCACGATGAGTGTGAAGACATTGATTACAGACTTTATTTTTAAAAATCCATTTGCAACCTCTCTGGAGATATAGAGAGGTCTAATTAATTTCTCTGACATATCTGAATCAGAAACCCCCTTCAACTACAGGGAGACTATCCCAGTAATTTAGACAATATTTAGCTTGAAACTATTTGCTGAAAAAAAACTCTGTGGAAGTGTGACTGTGGTAAGTAAAACCCACCTCAATGTACCAGCATAGCACCTCTGAAACTTTGCAATTTAACAGTACCTATGGCTTGTGCTATCCTTTTAAAGAGAGGCAAATTTGTTTCTTTAATATTTTGTGGTAGTGTAATAGAAAAGACTAGACTACTCCCTGACGCTAAAAATTTGCAGTGATAGTAGGATTTCAGTAAGTGTCTTTTTCTTTTGAAAAATGCAAATTTAAGTCAGACTGGAGAACTTTTGAAAAGCCTACTCCAAACTTGCAAAGTTATTTCATTTTTCATTCCCTGAGCCACTCCTATGCTTAGCCGTCCTGCACTATGTTTTTCAGAGGATGCCTATAAAACTCAAGTCCGAATTGATGACGAACCAGCTTATTTGGACATTCTAGACACTGCTGGACAGGTGAGTAATTTCCAATGTGAACCATTCAATTAGAGATAAAGCCAAAGATTTTAACCTCAGATATATAGGTCACAGAGCTAGGAGCAATCTTCCCTATTCAAACGTAAAGGGAGCAGTGGCAGAATAACACTGAGGAATTAACAAAGGAGAAGATTAAAGGATTGCTTCTGTGGTAGAATATAACTTCAAAATCTGACCAGAAGAAACAAATTTAATCAAGCAGAAGACAAAAAGCTGTTTGTTTCTTTTTCTATTTAATGCAGAAACATCTATCACAATCATGGATTGAATAAATGATGTTGTTGGTTTGTTTTATGTATTTATCATTTCTGCTTTTCTATATATTTCAGGAATCTTCTGGTCTACTTGTAGATCATGTATTTTGTTACCATTCTTCTCTTCCAGCATTACATTTAAACATCAAATGCTCTCATGCATAAGGAAAAGATCTTAATGCCAAAAGTAACACACAGTGTATGTATGATAAGTATATGCATGTGAGAGCGTCAGTCAGGGATTTCAGTTTCACATACAGTAAGGTACAAGAAGGAGTTAAACTCAATAATTTCTTCTACTTGACTTAGTTCATTCCCTTTCCATCTCAAAACATTTTTATTATTTAATCAAAATGTTGCAGCTGGTTGATCTTTTCCTGAGATATGTGTCAGGCTCTGTTTGAAAGGTCTGATAGTTTCATGAGTTTCCACAGTGTGTGTGCACCTTGTACAGGAATGAATCAGTGAACAAGGACAGTAGGTACTTAAGCAAACAAAAAAAGATTTAGGAAGTATAAGCCTGGAAACCTTGATCTCAGCTTCCCAAAAGTCTGAATACACGTGAGTTGGGCAGTGCAAATGGTGGGAAATGCAGTCTTCTGCCAGGGATTAAAATGACATCGAGTTATTGAAGTTGAATGTAGCTCAGGGGGATAGTGGAATCAGTTTTGCATGTGAATGAAATATAGGCCAATTTCAAACTGAACTCAACACAGTTTCAGAAATCAAAAGATGCCCTGAATTATTCTTCCTTGACCCAAAATTATGCAGTCTCAGCAGTTTACCAGTGACTTGCTGGTGAAAGTGTTTGATTCCCCAGAAAAAGTAAGATGAATTTCAAGGCAAGTCTCCAAAGCTGTGAATTTAGTTGACCTAGAATTTATTATTATAACAGACCAGAGAAGTTTCTTATGCATAATAGTCCCAGTACAGCTTTGTCCTGGTTTTGCTAGGAGAGAGTTAATTTTCTTCTTAGTAACTAGAATAGCTGTGTTTTAGGTTCAGTATGGGATTTGTAATGAGAAGAATATTGATAAAGTACTAATGTTATTAATTGCTGCTGGAGTTCAAAGGCCATCATTCACAGCTGCATTAGGACTGGGAGAGAAAAGAGTAGTAATTGGCAAATCCCAAAACTGGCATTAGGATGTGCCAGTGAAATATTCCATATCATGTCACCCTCTGTCAGTATACTAACCAGGGTTGACCGGAAGATGGTGGGATTCTCTCGGGGATTACTGGGGCTCACTTCTCAGGGGTTTGGGTTTGAGGACTGTCTCTGCTCAAAGATCGCTGGCTGGGGACAGGCTGGGCATCATTCGGTGAATGGTGAGCAATTGCATGGTGCATCACTCATTTGTATATTCTGTTATTGCTGTTATTATTATTTTATTTCAGTTAGTAAATTGCTTTTATCTCAACCTGTGTCTCTCTTTGTCATTTTCCTTCCAACTCTCTCCCCTATTCCCTGGGGGTGGAGAGGGTGAGAGAGTGACTGTATTTGATTGCAAACCAAGGGAGTGAAACCACCAAAAGCTTCAGCAGTGATTTGGCTGGGGGAAACAATGAACATCAGATGCTACTTAATATGCCTGCAAATATCTCCTCTTCTGTTGGAAAAGGGGAAGCAACATCTTCTTTGCTCACTCAGGAAGTCTGAGCTTAGTAACTTTAGTCCTATCTTGTCATTAGTATGCAGTCACTGGGGGAACTATAACTCCAGCTGTTTAGTTATGTAAGGATGTACTTCTTAGGAACTTCCTGTGTCATCCTTTAATATAGACAACTGTCGACATCTACTTCGTTTTATGCCAAAATTCATTTTAGTCATGTTTTCTGGAGCTAAATTGCTAAAAGGTAAAATGCTCTCTTACCCAGAGCTGAAGAGAAATGATGTTTATCTTTCTAAAAAAATTATGTCTCTAGCTTTTAGATAATGGAAAGAGGAGCAAAATGGTATACAGGATTTATTATAATGTATTGTAAAAAATGAGAGAAATAATTACTTTTACTTTTTTTAACTTTTTTTTTTTCACTAGAAAAATAAATATTTGTGGTTTTAATAAAAAAATAGAATCAGATATTGATTTTTTTCTCTTCCTAACCCTCACTAAAATAAAGTATTTTTTTTAAATTATATTTTATTTACTGTCAACTTATTTTAAAATTAAAACAAAAAAATAGAACACAATATTCAATCCTTTTGAAAGATTTATTTTTTTTTCCTTTTAATTCAGGAAAAAGTATGCCTACACACTAACTATTTTATATTATAGTATTATATATATTAAAATTATTATATTTTCCAGTTTAAACAAAGCTCATCTTTTGTCAGTTATGTTCACAGTTTAGGGAAAATTCCCTACAAAACTGTAAATTTTTTACTTTTTAAAAAATTTATTTTTCATCATATAAAAAAGCTAGCACAGAACCTCGTTTTTAATTGAAGGGAAGATTATTGCCAATATTATCAATTTTGTCAGAATTGACAGTTGTAAGGTAGAAAAATAAATGACAGTAATGTAGTCAGTGAAAGTTGGTGAGAACAATAGTAGAGAAAGGCTGGAGAGTTGTAAGTTTTGTTTCAAGAAGGGACCAAAGCCTCTATAATATTAGAGTTCCATGGCACGTAATGACCACATAATGAAATATGGTGCACAGATTTTGGAGCAAGCAGAGGCTCATGGCAGTAACACCACATTCTGTAGATACATCAGCTTGTGACATTGTACAGCCTGGGCATAGTTATTCTACATCAAGATCCAAGTTAAATTGATATGAGAAAACCTCTGCTTTAAATTTCCTTGTATTTTCCAGTCCAGACTGTCATCACTGAAATATATCTCAGTCTATTGATGCTAGGAAGCTCTTCCCACTTTCCTACACCCCTATTTTTCAGAAACTGTCCATTCTAAGTATCCTGGATTTAGTTGCTTGTCTTGGCAGATGTCTTTGAATTTGTTGCTTCCTTGTCTGCACTACACAGCTCCAGAATAAATCAAGACCTAATCCAACTCCCATTGAAGTCAACAGCTAAAATAGCCTCTTTCTTCACAGAGGGCTTAATGTTCCTCTCACTGGAGTTCAAACTGAAATCCTGCTGTGACTTTGATGACTCAGGGTAAGAATCCAAAGCACCCAGTTATGCTGATGATGGCATGTTCTGTACCTTGTTGGGTTTCGTGTTAAAGCAGAGATAGTGTTACATCTTCTAAATCGTGTAGTGGAAATCTCATTTCTCTCTGGGTGTCCTTGCAGTCATAAATACTTCATCATCAACTGTGAATAATGACTTTAATAACGTCAGAAGATCAAGGAGCTAAAATTGTAATTCATCCTTATTTGGGAACCACAAAAAGTCAACAAGGAAACAGACAGAAGTTAATGTATTTTGTTGTTGTTGCCAAGAATATGTTTCACCAAATATGCTTTCCCTTTCCCTGTTGTACCTATGCACTAACTGAACACTTCAAGACTCACCAAATATTATGATTTACTAATAATTAATATACTTCTTCACTGTCAAACCCAGAGTTAAAAATCCACATCTGATTTCATACCTGAAACTGGATAAAAATCTTTGATATTTTCAATGATAGATACAGTTTGGAGCACCAACAACAGAAATGATACTTCAGAAATTTATTTTCTGAAGTTAAAAAACATTCAAAAAAAGTGAGAACCAGAAACTTGAATAAACTGTTAGTAATGGTCTTCCAGTTAGCGATCTTCCTCTTCTCATGTGTATACATAAACATGATTAAATATAACAGATTACTCCTCTCAGGAACCAGACTGAATTTCTGTGAGCTCTGAATACATATTTTCTACATCATAACTTGTCCTTTAATGATCTTCCAATAATGTTTTTTCTACTGAAGGTGCAACAGGAGACACATTCTTAATATATGTAGGGCTAGTGTAAGTAGTTATGCTTCACTGAACTCACTACCCTTGCCTTTCACCACCCACTACACCTACCAACAGAGTAGCTTGTCCTGCTCACCACAATCAACCATACACAAAATAAAATGATGTTTTCCTCAGAGAGTTTCAAGAGCAGGTATTGCTGATGCAGCTGCTCATAGCCAAATTTTCCTAAAAGGTACTTACTTGAGCAGTTCCTACCATAAGGCTTGAAAATGTGGTATGCAACAAGAAAGAAATGAACAAAAAACTGATGTTGGTTTTCTTTTTCAATGTCACAAGTGAATCTAGAAGACGTATCTTTAGCCTTACATTAGCTGCTAAAAACAGCTATCAGTGATGACTTCAGCTCTTCTTTAACTAGAAGTTGTCTTCTTAAATTAAAAGTTTTCTTTTTTTAAATCTATGTTTAATATAAAACAAAACCAAAAAACAAATAGAAACTGAGAGTAAATTTGAGATTGAGCTTTAAGAAGAATTTTATTTAGTTAGCTTTTAACCCTGTAAACTAGCTAAAATCTGGCATGTGGAATAAATAATAAAATCTTAATCTGCAAATTCAAACTGTTGTCTGTAAAGACACATTGAACTTCCTTGTTCACCTGTCTTCAAGGAACATTTTTTAAATAACTCTCCTTTGAAATTCACCTATATGCCTCTCTCTATCCCTTAAGGATGGAAGAAGTTTTGGGGTGGAAGTAATTCTGGGATTTCTTTTTTCTTATACGATGTGTCATAAATCTCATCTACTTTTACATATATTTGATTTAAACTGATGCAAATGCTTTGATTTGCAGG